ATGAGATCAGTTAAGACCACCCAAGGATTTCATGCAGAAGTGGCAGCCAAAGACGGAGCTAAGGGGGACACCAGATCAGAAGAAAAGTAGGGATGAGGTCAAGGGAATAGGTTGAGAGGTCAGAGCCAGAGCCAGAGAGTGGGAAGGATACTGCAAGCATCCGATACTGAGTTTATCTTTGAGAAGTCAGCCAGTTGCATCAGATAGTGTCAGTTTTCCTTAAAAAACACTGCCAACCCCTTGGACTGAGGAAGAGGTAAGGAGATGGTCTGTGTTTGAGGAGAGAGTCAAAGGTGGAGAAGAGATGGCAGAAATTTAAATCTGTATGTGAGTAGTGATTAGAAGACTTAAGGGCTTTTGGGGGGAGGGGACTAAGACATAAGAATGTATGTCTCAGTTTTCAATTGCTTCATCTTCATACCTGTCCAAGAATCTGTGGGGGGGGGGCAAGGTAGAGGGGCCAGAAAACTTTGCATTCACTGGGAATTCTGGGTGTCTAGACAGTTGTGAACACATTTTACATCACTTTAAAAAGCATTTAAAAGAAATTTTAAATGAAAAGTTTCAAACACAAATCAACTTGCCTTTCATCATACAGTCACACTCTTATTTTACAAATAAATATTTTTGTCTCTCTTTTCCACATTCCATCTCTTCCCTCTATTTCAAGAAGTTATAATTCTTTGCTTGTGACATCATAACGTGTATTCATGGAAATTAATTTAAAATTGCAAGCACAAGATTGTTACTTCTTTGAATGGAGAAGGATAACAGAGGAGAATTGTGATATAAACACAGATTTTCTATAATTAGTGATAACAACAAAGGAAATATTCACAATTACATCAAAGAAGTCTTGATTGACTATTGTTTTTATTTGCCTCTTGAAGGGAGGTTAGAATTCTGTTAAACAAAACACCACCACACTGATTTAAGGGGATGGGTATAAAAAAAAGAGCTACTGAGGAAATCCAGTTCCAAACTGAACACAGAAAGCTATTTGGAAATCCAGAAGAGGTTATCTTATCAAACTGATCACAGGCCAGCTATAACTATCTACTGTACATGCTGTACAGATATGTCTTCAGTATGCAAACAGTTTTCCAGATAAACACTACACACAACACTGTCCTCTGTAGAAAATCCTGGGTGTGTCTGTGCATATGGGAGACAGAGACTGGGGAGAAGAATTTCATCCAGGAACATAAACAGACTAATTTTGTGAAGCAAGGATAGCTAAAAAGAGTCAAGAATAATGTTATGCAATAAAAGCTGGTATATATTTTCCTTTCCAAACTGGGAATCCTACATAGCTTCTTTTAAACAAGCCAGTTGTTTGGATAGAACAAAATTTATATACGTGTTTCGTTCTCTTCTAAAGGGGACAGAGTTCAAATATACAGTAAATGAAAGATGCATGCCTCAAAATAGTGCAGTGCACAGGAGAGAGAGAGAGGAAAAAAACAACTAATCTGTTACCTGTTCCAAGCAGTCTATGAACTTAAATATCTTACCCTTTGCAGCATCATTTTAGAGATTAAAACAGTAAATGATTAACATTTCATAACTCTTTTGCCCTCCTCTGCAAAAAATAGGTCAAAGAATAAATGGAAACAAACTGTCTTTTGCTCCTTTTTCTGCATTTGAGAGAGAAAAATGAGGGAGATAAATCTGCATAATACTGAACCGAATCTCTTTAATTCCAGTCAGCTTTTATCATTCAATCACCGAGTCTGTATGTGGAAAAATTCATGCTAATTCCCCCTAGCAACAGCCTTGGCCTATCAGGACACTCCATGCACCATGAAGCTGCCAGCCAGCAAGAATAACTCTAAGTAGGTCAGGCCTGTATTTCTAAAAATGCCACGGTCTAGTAACCCCACTGTCCCGTCTGTCTGCCCTGCTCCATAATAACCTCAATTGCCTGGTGACACAATGACATACTACCCTGCTAGAGCGCAATCAAATCATGCTGCATTATTCTGCTGCAAGCATCGCTGCTGGATGAAGGACCCTTCGAGGGGCAGCATTAATCAGGGAGCCATTCATGTCCACTAGCACTTCACTCTGGAGATGGGTCCTGCATTAATGACCAGCTGTTTGAACTAACACAAACAAAATAATGTCTTCCACCCTGTTGGGCGCACAGAATACACTATTCCGATCAGGCAGGTTATGCTCATTGACTAAGTCTAAGATGTAAATTAAACAGGCTCAGACAATGCCAGCTTTTGTAACCTTCTATTAATTAAATTAAGTATATTTAAATTATATTACATGCATTTCAAAGAGCTATTGGTTTAATATACAGTCATCTCCTCCTACAAATTTGTGTTCACAGTAAAAAAAAAAATCTGTGTTTGCAAAATACAATCTATCTATCTTGGTGTATTAAGGAGCTAAATAAACATAGCTGAACTGAAACTGACTTCTGCTGGGAATATGGAAACAAACCAGGTTTGTAGCAATTGTGCAGCATGAACACAAACAGAAATGCAAACTGAATGTTGTAAGGTGTACAGATAAAAGCCATGTAAACATTTTACAGCAACAATGTGGAAAAAGGCCAATCAGAGCAGATTAAGTACCCCCCACAATCTCACTGTTTAAATGTTGCTGAATTGCCAGCATAGACCTAAAATAATTGCAGAGTACAGAAAGATCCTAGTATGGATTGATTTTATCCCTTTAAAAGCAAGCATTTCTGGTACTCTGCAGTATTGATGGTTTTCTGCTTGGCTCCAAGATGTTGCACTGAGCCTCACAAAATCTTTTTTCTTTTTTTGCACTCAAACAGAGGAGTCAATTTAAACCACATCAGACCACAATAAGTCTTCTCTGGGGTGGTATTTTAGTATCAAATCTGTAATGCCAAAACAGAATTTCAGCATGCTTTCTTTGTTTTATTACTCCCTTTCTTTTAAGCACCTCCGTGCGTCTCTTGGTTTTTTCCTTTGTAGCATGCTTCAGTGTCCCACAGCTGCTTGTACTAGATGGAGCCCTGAAAGACATTTTCAGGGATAGTTCATCTGCATTTTTAAAAGGATTCACACTTTTACTTAGCGAACGTGCCCTCTGACAAGTTCCTAATTCACCCTTCAATTATGCAGAATTCAGTAAGTCTTATATATGTAATCCATCCATATTTGATTTATGAACACAGCAGATTCATTAATCCATTTGCTCTTGTTTGAACCAGGCTTGATAACTAGGTTATGACTATCTTCCTTACTTTGTGGCACACATCACAGTTATTCTTGGAGAGATACAGTCACTGACGTAACCATGAGCAGCTAATTACAAGCTGCTGACATTTTGCTTGTCTCTGCAGCTTTGAAGCTATGAGTTAAGTCTCTCTTCCTCCTGCCAGTTTTGTTTTAAAGTGGCTGGGTTGGAAACACAGCATTTGAGAAAGGTACAGGAGAGGTGCAACTCCTCAGCTGAGCTCAATGTATTTTCCAAAACTATTTTTCCTTTAAACAGATAACTACAGTTTGGAAGTAATAAGACTCCTCCGCCCACAACACAGGAATGTCATCCAACAGCTGGCTAAATATAATCCAACATACAGGGCTGCCTTTGTAGACCTGGTAACAAATAGTGGAAGGCCCAGACAGGCGTCTTGCAGGATAGCTCACCATGACTATTGGGAAATCCCCTCATACAAATTTTAAGATGACTTTATGGGTTTTGGATTTGTGTTTAAAAAAACCCCAAACTCTCACCGTAGGGGGTTGCTAAAAATCATACCAAGTCCCCACTAGTTGAGTGCAGCATTTGTTTCCCTTAACTTCATTTTGCACATTACATGGATATGGCCAACCTGAGCCGTCTACTAGTTTTCACCATACTAAGTATGTCTGTATTATGACAAGTCCATCTGTTCTAAAAACACACTCTTCCAAAGGCATGTCCAGAAATGAAAAATATCAGTGTCCATTTCAGAATGATGCACTGCCAGTCGTGAGCATTGCCTCTTTTAACCCGACCAAGAACCTTTTTTTAATTATAGGCTGATTTTGAAATAAAAAAAAGTAGTAGTAAATATAATGCTGAATCCATCTCAGTTGAGTATTTAGCCATCTGAAGACTGTGGTAGCCAGCTGGTCTAGCAGTCATCTGGGATACATTTATTTTGGTTAGATTGATCGCATTTCTATTTACAGTATAGAATTTTTCACCATACTGAATACAGCTGTGTTTATAAAGATTTTAAGATGAAGAAAACAAAACCCACACAGCTCCTCTCGTTACAGTACCGAAGATTCAGTGCTTCAAGGTGTTAAATCAAAAGGAGCTGCTTTCACATTTCTTAAAAGAATTCTGCATACGTCTGTTTTCACAAAACACCTTCTGATTCAGGAAATGGGTGTAGAGCTGTAGCTGAAAATATAAGCTGCAATCAAGTCTGATCTAGCAAAGTGACAAACTTCCTGTGTAAATTGGTAGAAATGCCTTTTTTCACGTCTACACATGGACACACAAGAGATACACATACATATATAAATATATACTGCATGACGGCCGTTTTCCCTGGGGATGTCAGTGCAGTCACCTAGCCCATCAGTTCCCTCCCTGACAGCGTCGGGAGTGTTCAGACTACAATTTACAGTCCCTCCGTCCATACATTGTTTGGTAAATTATGCAACCATCTCTAGAATAAGAATGCACAGAATCAGACAAACAGAATACAGTGTTTCTTCTTCCTTTTCATTTGCTCTCTCGCTCTTCCTCCCATAGGTTTGCCTTTACAGGCGGACATATCAGATACCTTATTTATCCATCTCCAGCACAATGCTGAGGTGAAACACTACTGCATCACTGTGGCTTTTCCCATGTTAATCCTTTCGAGCAGCAGAGGCTGGATTCTTGCTGCTGATGCCCTTGTCGTGTGCTGGATTGTTTTGCGTAATATTTCTTTAAACTTTCTCCCACCTCACTTTGGATTAACGTCCCCACCCTTCCAAAAAAAACCTCACCCCACATCACAACCCTTCTCTTCCAGCACCAACAGAAAAAAAAATGTGGCCAGAGTTCCATCGCTGCTCTTCCTTAGCAGCGTGCAGACGAGTGATTCCCGACTCAGACATGCCAGGGTGAAGCACAGGCAGCGAAACTGCAGCAGCCCCAGCAGCAGCAGCAACAGAAACAGCAGAAGCCGCCCAGGTAAATGGGGGGAAAAAGCAGGATATGCTGAGAGCAGTGCCGTGTCGTAGCTGTGAGAGAAGACGACGTTGCTTCTTCCAAACAGCGCAGCTCGAAGCCTGCAGGAACGGAGGAACGGGAAGTCCCAAAATGAAAAATAAAAGCCAAAGAGTTAAGAATTAATAATAATTATTATAAATATAATAATAAATTGATTCAACTTTATTTCTATTGTTCTGGGCTTTTGCGGGGGCTCTTTTCCCCCTCCCCCAAAGTCTCTTGTGTTGCTGAATGTTACTGTCCAGGAGTGCCGAGTCACAAAGGCTCACTCTCCAAAGCGCAGGGAGCCCAGCATCACATGAGAAACCACATGACACACCCGAATTGGATGCTGATGTGGTCAACTATTTCAACGAACAACAACAAAAAATATGCTGAACAAGGCATGCCCCTCTCTAGCGGCTAGAATTTCCTTTTTTAACAATCACAAAAAAAATTAGATATCTATCTCTATATAAACTACTGGTACTTCAAGTGCTAAGAGGATGCTGTTCCACAGACACTAGCTGGATGGCAGCAATATTACTTCTAGGCTGCATTACACAAAGCTGATTCCACTTAAGTGAATTCCTGAAAAGCATACTCCATGTCTTTACAGCCTGAACAGGCTCAGAAAACCAATTCCATTATCATTCCCTGAAATCTGTAGCCGAACCTGCATTCTGAATAATTTATTTTAGACTAATAAGATGTTTGCCAAGACTGCTCCTTTCCCCAGTTAGCACCACAGGCTAGATTTACTAAGGTGGGGAAGCCTGTCCCAGTGCAACATGGAAACAGAGATCGCATTCATCATTGTCATAATTGGTGATTTTACTAAACAACCTGTCCCTCAAATAGTCAGGAAAAAACAAGCAAAAGGTTTCTCCTGCTTTATTGAATGTGACACGGCTCTTGTTTGCAGTGGGGCATATTGTGTTTGTAAACAGTTGCATTATTTTTTTCTAACAGTGCTGTGATGAGAGTTTCGGATGGAAGCTGAGGATTAGATTTCTCAGCATTGAGAAAACAGGCAATCTCTCTGGCCAGCTAGTTCTTGCAGAGGTGCTTTGCCACAGTCTTTAACTTACTAGCATGTCAGCAGCCTTTGCAATGCCCAACTAAGGCCCTGGAACCTCACAACGTTGTTTGCTGTCAGGTCTCCAAGAGGTTAACATTCTTCCTTGCTTCACCATCATGCCTATAGGAGCATAGTACTGAGGGAGTGGTTAGCTGGGGGGGGGGGGGGGTGGAAGCTGATCTGCATGATTGATGGAATCACTGCTGGCATAAGGTTATCATTCAACGAACAGTTAGCAGTTTGAAGCTTGTTTTACTCTATCGTTTGTGAAAATGACAGAGCAGGTGGCACAGAGTCCCCCATCCCCTTTGTTTGCAAAAGCAGGGCATCACTTTGCAATGCCATACTCCCTGGCTCTTTATGCTGAAATTGTAAACTATGTCAGGAAAATGTAAAAGGATAGTGCCATGAACACACACAGCTGTTTTCCACGAGATCTCACTGCAAGCTGTGAAGTTTATATCACAGCACTCAAGCATAGAATTCCCCAAAAGAAAGATATGTATAACATTCGGGCAGGAAGGGGGAGTAAAAGCATGAAAGAGTGCTCTTTTGTGTGGCTTGCAACCTTCCCAACTGCTCATGCAATGGCACATTACACGCATTTGCACAAGGCAGTTAGTATTCATTTTCATTGGTTCCTGACAGAAAGGTTTTTTTTCCAAAGGGCTGCACCTATGAGGAGCCACGGTCCACATACAGCATTATCTAAATGCAAAGTAAGTCTGTGCACAGAACTCTGGGGACTAGTGTCTTATACACAGACATCATAGGAACATTATATAACTATCAAAAGGTATTTTTATACATAGCACGACCAGTTACACTTAGATCACTTTTTCATCGCTGTGTTGAAGAGGGACATCAGCACACAAACTCAGGCCTGTGGCCAGTGCATAATTAAAATTAGCCACTTGTTTTCCAGTTGCAGTGTTGGCTTAATCTGCATCATGAAGACTTCAAAACAAGCTTTCCACAAGATAAGTGGGAAGCATTATTGACATGTAGTGGGAAGGGGTGGTGTGCACCAGGAAGAGAGATATTCAAAGTCCCTACAAAATTTTGGCAAACAAGACTAAAGTAGCTGTGGACAGGGTGGACAGAAGTCTCATCCTCATTATCCTAGCAAAAGTACCTCTGGAGCTCATTTAACAGTCAAACAGAAAGGTTAGCCGTTCCTTTTGCATTCATCTTCCTTTATTATTAGTTTCTAATACATAATCCTTGTCTCTGTGAGTTGATGACCTTTTCCTGTTTTATCCACTAGGTCATTTCTCTGTTCTGGCCATGCATAATTACAGTGTATTTTATATATATTATATATATATATATTTATATTTATATATTACACACTCACATGGAGGAGGTGGGATGACTTCAATGACTGGTAATGGAACGTGGAACTTTTCTCCTGTTGGTCACCTAACTGAATCCAACTCAGGTCAGTTGTGTCTGAAAGTTGTCACCATCTAATGGCTCTCTCAATGGCTATGTAAAATGGTCCAGAGCTTTCACTTCAGATCCTAGCCCACCACACTAAAATAGACAAAATTAGCCATCTCAGTAGAAACATCAAGGACTGAATGAGCACAGAACATGAATTATGCACTCACACTAAAGCTAGTCACTGCAAACCAGAGTTGAGACACATTGATGGGGCAGAGTGTGGGAAAGATTTCACTACTGTTGCCTGGACAGACCCTGTTTGGTGGATAGAAGACTTCAATCTCTTTAGGCTGCTAATCAAATGTCTTTCATGGGATACATTTTAATGGGCCTCAGAAATTGTGCCCAGCAATATCTGCAGATGCAACCAGGAGGTCCTGTCATTTGCATTTCCAAACCTTGCTAGGGAGAAACAGGAGCAACCATAACCCCCAGAGACCCTTGATTTCAATCTTTCAGTCTCAGGTTATTGTTGGATACTATGATTTTATCTATAATATGTTAACTCCTGAACTCAGATTCAGGTTCTGTAACCATCTGTTTGAAAAAATCACTATTTCTCTGTTCAAACCCAGCACCTAAGTTGCACCCTGCAACATTAGTCCACCCAAGCACTGAGCAATCAAACAGGCAGCTGTGCACACAACACAGGTAATTTAGGGGGCAAATAGGCACCTCTGGATGGGTTTAGCTTTTGTGCTCAAATGCAGATTTTTACAATGCCTGGAAAGCACTTAACACATTTTGGATACTACCACAATGTAAATTAATAAATACAATAATAATAATTTCCAGATGCAATTTAAGGTGCCAACATATGAAGAGTTGCCCCCAAATATTTGATCCCAGATCCCGCTCTGTGTTAGGGCAGTTTTGCACCACTCGAGCAATGCAAAGTTGGTGTACCTGACCACAGGAAGATTATCTCTGTGAAGAGGGGTCAATTCAGACCCCCTCGGGTTGCTTTAATTTATGTCAAAGACTAGACCAACATCTAGATGGCCCCAAGTTCAAGAGAGTGAAAAGTACCTTTGCAAAGAGAGTGAAAAGTACCACATATCCTGAGGTGTGTTGAGTGGTCCTCAGCTGCAGCTCAGGATGTGGGTCTTGATGGTCTCCTTTATATTCAAAATAGATCAGTTTATTAAGCCAGTGTGCTAATGTAAGTCTTTTAGATCTGTGGGCTAACTGCAGGATTTTAACAATCAGAGACCGGATTCTCATCTCACCATGATTTTACAGTTGTAGCTTCCCTTGACTTCAGTGGAATTATTTCTTGATTTATAATAGTGTAAGCAAAAGCAAAATACAGACCGAGGGTTTTAAAAACTCAGCCTTTTGTGACACTGATATACTTCCCTAATGAATAAAGAGGAAAAAAATAGAATGCCTAAGTGAACTGGTACTGAAACAATAATGGGGATCTCTGTGGAAAGTCACAAAGGAAGTACTGCAATAAGACATTGCAATATCACATTGAATATTTACAAATACTGTACAAATCAAGTGTGAAAGACCACCATCTTTGTTACAGTTCCTATGACAGAAAAAGCAACTGAGCCCAGAAAGCTATTCTATAAGCAGGCCAATGTAATAAACAAAATGTTAAATTAGTGCAGAGCAGTTGACCGTACCTCTTTATGTTTTGTTATTTCCACTATTGTTAAGCCTTGATCATGACAACCCTATTGCTTAATCACTGCAAAGTTCTGCTTTTACTGACTGCTTCAGGAAGTCGCTCCCAAACCAATGTTTATCAGACATTGATGCCTTATTTGCACTCAAGTGGGTTTCTCCCTTTAAGTCTGAGCAATCACGTTTGACTAGATGCCTGCCGTATGAAATGTGATATAGTGACTTGGCTTAAAGGTGTTAAAATTAACATGTAAAACCACCTGGATTTTCTGTATCTTTTCATCACTACTGTACATACACCATTCTGCTCATGTAAGTCAACATCTGCGTAGTATGCCGTGTAAAATCTAGGTAGGACATCTTTGAAATGTTGATTTCTTTTAAATCTCACTATGGGAACACGGCTTACATTTGTATAGCATGTTTCAGCATGAAATGCTTTACACTCTTTATGAACTACAAATGTATATGCAGTAAATACAGGAGTTATTTCATCCACCAATGGACTGCTGTTACAGTGGGGTGGAAGGTAACTCCTATTTAACACCACACAGCAACACTGTCTATGGCAGGAAGTGAGGAATAAACATCCTACTGAAACTGGAGAGAAATTCTAAATTCCCCAGGAACCAGAATATCACTAATGGACATTTGCAAATCAGACAAACTTTCTGGTTACTAATTTTATTACAAATCCAAAACTTGGCCAAGGTTTCTAAAGCCCCCCTTGAGCCTGTAAGGAAGGGTTCACTGAAAATTCAGCCCAGATTGCCTTCAATGGGTCACAAATCTCAGTGAATCTAAGGTGTTTTCAGTGAACTGTCTCCCTCCATACAAGCTTTGGAGAGAGATTTATGGTTATGCTTGAGGTTTCAACCCAATAGCCAGGCAAAACTTGGGGTTTGTCACTGAACCTGA